ATTTTTTCTGCCCCTACCACAAACCAGGCAGTGTGCAAAGCACTATAATATTGTATCACATATTTGAAAGTTGTTGAGAGGGTAGATCTCAAATGTTCTCACCACAGGAAAAATAATATGTAACTATATATGGTAACAGAAAATATTAGAACTTCTAATGATATTTATTTTTATCCATTCCTTTGAACATGTTACTCTATCTCATTCATTTTGATGTGTTACTCTTTTGTGAATACTTCATAATGTATATGATGTTGGTATAGTTCTACATGTATATAATTGTATAAATAAATAACTAAATAAAACACGTGTATTGAGAATGGGGCTATATGAACAAAAAAAATTTAGAGGCCACTACTCTATGCTATAACTTACAGAGCAGTTTTTATATATGTATCATCTGTTTGAATATATTAGTGTATATATATATATTTTTTAAAAGAATGGAATATATGTATTTTGTTTGTTTGTTTTTTTCCAGTTCATATATTGTAATCATTTTCAATGTTAATAAACATTCACCTACAACAATATTTCTAATGTAAGTACTGGACTCCAAAAGTACTGATTTTGATAGATAAGATCTGATGATTTAGAATAAAGATTGATATCCGTCTAACATTCTTATGCCCTCACCCCACCGACGCTCCAATCTATGTTGGAATATAGTTAAGTACCTGGAAGCCAGGGACTCTTCTTAAAAAATACATCTCTCTTCCCCAAAGAACTGAAATCAGGAACCCAAAGAGGTATTTGCATACCCTTGTTCATAGCAGCATTATTCTTAAAAGCCAAAAAGTGAAAGTAGCCCAAGTATCCATCCATAGAGGGATGGATTAATGAAGTATGGTCTATCCATACAATGGAATATTATTCAGCCTTAAAATATAGGAAATTCTGACACTTGGGACAACCTTGAGGGCATTATGCTAAGTGAAATAAGCCAATCACAAAAAGATAAGTACTGTCTGATTTCACTTATGTGAGGTACCTAGAAAAGGCAAATTAATACAGACAGAAAATAGAAGGCCAGAGGCTAGGGGAGAAGGGGAGATATTATTGTTTAATGGGCAGAGTTTCAGTTTTGTAAGATGAAGTTTTGAAGAATGGTGGTGGTGATGGTTGCAAAACAATGTGAATGTGCTTAATTTCACTGAACTATACACTTAAAAATGGTTAAAATGGTAAAACAAACAAACAAACAAAAGACGCACCTCACTATAATATATGGGACTTGGTGGAAAGTGGAAGCAAACTCCCATGTACAAGTCTTCATTTTGTACCAGGCACCCTGCAAAGTGCTTTATCTCATTCAATCTTCATAACAAACTGCTTAAAGAAAAAGGACCTTAGGTTCAGATGGCTTGAAACTGGCTCGTGGTCACCCACCAGCAGATGAGGAGGGCTTGTCTCAAACTTCCGAATCCAGAGCCCATGCCTTTCCTTAGTGTCTCCTATAAAGGATGCAGAAGACTGTGGCTCGGGAACAAAAGGAGGACTAGAAACAGCCTGCCTCCATCGTATCCCTCGCTTGGCCCAGTGTCTCCCACATTGTAGGTACTTACTCTTCAAGAACAAACGGCATTGGGCAGTGAGAAAAAGCCAAAGTATTCCCAGGGCACTGCCGAGAGAGTGCTCATTTCCTGCCCTCTCACTCTGAAGCTGTCTCCTCAAGTGACTAATATTAGACTCAGGGCCACCCCACTGATAACACCACTTATCATGGTACAGTCCACTGCCTGCTGTCCCTCACTGTCTTTTGTCAAGGACAACAAGGATCCATGTGGGCCTCTTTCCACAGGTGTACGCGAAAACGGTAAATCTGACCTAGTTCAGGACCTGGGACTGTAGGTCTGGTCTTGTCTACCTGAATTGTCACGGCTATGTCACTTCCTCAGTCCATCAGGTGTATAAAATGAGGGTTCAGGTGTATGATCTGGGGGCACCCCCGACATTCTATGCTTAGAGCAGATGAAAAAGTGTGTGTAGTATGGGACAAATGCTTCCAAACTCAGGGATCTTCAGAAAAAGCAAGTTCAGAGCTTGACGAATGATTCCCCTGGAATTAAAGTCGAGGGGAGCAGTGACTCTGGCAGGGGTACAAAGAGCAGACTTCTCCAAACTGCTTACCTTGTCAAGGTATTTTAATACAGAGCCTTTATCAACCAAATAAACCCACACTTTACAAAGTGAATGCCATAGAACACTGGTTTGACAAGGTGCTCACACATCAGGGGCTAATGAATGTGGGAAACACTGCTGATGTGTCTTCTTGGAGATGCACTATGCACATGAGCGACTGGAAACTTACTGAAAAAACCTGAACTTTTTCATTTTTAAGTAGGTATTCCCCATACTTATTTGTTCATAGTTCC